CAATTTCAAAAAGCTAGGGAATTCTATACTTACATTCCTGTGGGGGGGGGGGGGGGGTGTGGATTGGCATGGGACAGGGGTTTCAATGTGCCAGAATAGCTGAGACCCATTGTCCAAAGTCATTAATACTGTTTATTTCATATCTCCAAGGTGGAAATTTTAACTGTGAATGTTTCTAATAGCTCACGGGCAATCCCTCATATATGCAGGCAGAGTTTTATAAACACCAATGTGTAAGACAAGCACACTCCATAAAAACAAAATTAAAAAAAAAAAAAAAAGGAAAACAAACCCACAGAGTGAGATCCTGTAGTAGGATTTTCTAAATATATTCTTTGCTGCACCATAACCCAGAAACATAATCTATCTACTCCTATTTAACAGACATAGAAAAGAATGCTGTTTTTGACAAGGACAGCAATTTACAGTTCCCATTATTATGGCTGACAGTTCAACAGCTCTCCAAAGGCTTGTCTAGATTCTTCGGATCTTATTCTTCATGAATTATTATTAGTTGCCCACTGAAGGCAGTTGCTCTCTCTACCAACCTCCTGGCGAAAACGTAATCACATTTCTATATTTAACCTCTACCCCAAATGAGGTCATTGCAGGTAAATGCCATGCAGTGGTGGGTGGAAGAGAAGGGGTGTTGAGGCTCCCCATCAGAGCAAACTCATTCTGGTCACCCAAGGAGCACCTAGAGGTCACTACATACCTGTTTTACCAAACAGATTGTTAAATCTTCTTGATATTGGAGAACTCATAGAAAACACTGGCGTGGTTGACCCTAGGGATGTTGACTAGAAGAGAAAACAAAAGACAATCAATCACAGAGCATGTTTGTTAGGCCAAGGCCGTTTTCATTGCTAGGAGGATTGGTTTGCTGCCTGCTAGTGGTCACTGCCTGCATCTCTAATCCCACCCTCTTAGGCCACATTTAGATATTGGAATCTTATCACCTGTATTAGAAAAATAACCTTCAAATACATGTTTTACTGTTTGATAGGTCTCTAATATCTTTTATCATGTGAAAAAAAATGAGTGAATAATCTATGCCAAAACTAGCTGTGGAGGGAGAGGGGTTTGAAGATGTACTGTGAGTATTTAACCCTATTGATCAAAATCCCAAGGTACACATTTAGTACTCTCCGCTTGTCCGTACTAGCGGAATACATGAGGATGTAACACGGAAGGTCCCTGCAGAGAAAAAGTTTACCTTTGAGTGCTGTGAAGACCATCTTGACAATGAAAATTTATTCAGCAAAGCTTCCTGTACCTGCATTGTTTAAAAGAAGCCATCATAACTTCAACATGTCACGTGCACTTTAGACTTTTCTAGAAGCATAAAACTGTCATTATTCTTACCTTTCGATCCCAGAGGCATCCAAAGAGTAAAATGAACAATCCCTGGGAAAAGGATTACGAGAAGTACATTTTAGTCATATTCTATTGTCTGGGAAAATAGGAAGCATCATTAACCTGGTGTTGGATTTGTACTATGTCTTTCCTCATCTGAACTTATGGAATGAGTCCGTACAGGATCACGTCAAAAGGGATGCAGTAGGTCCACACTAGGGGACTCTAAATGTAATCACGTTAGGAGGATATTTTCTATTTCCGTCTTTCCTCATCTGAACTTATGGAATGAGTCCGTACAGGATCACGTCAAAAGGGGTGCAGTAGGTCCACACTAGGGGACTCTAAATGTAATCACGTTAGGAGGATATTTTCTATTTCCCCATTTCCCTTCAGTTGTGAACTGGAGGTCCTGATGGCTATGCTATTAAATACACCTTTTATGCCTACAGTATCCCTCACTTCTCCCAAGTGAGGCATATTATGAAAATCATTAGAGACAGCCTAATAGCTTGGAGCTACAGGCCCAGTAGCAGAAATTAGAGTTCATGTGGTCTCAGCCCAAGCATCCAGAAAGCCATATCTTAACTTCCCCTCCAGAACACAGGCCTCCTCGCCAGCTCATAGGGGCCTGTATCCTGGGCAGGTTTTCTCTATCTTTACCACCTCTCTCTCCATCGGGTGAAACAGAATTAATTACTCCATTCCTTATGCTCGAAAACCTTGTCTGTACCTGCTATAGCTCTTCGAACAAACTGGCCTATATTGTAACTGGTTATGTGCTGCAGGACAGCAAAGAAGGTGTCTTTTCATTTTAGTATAACCAAGCAGATTGTCTCCCATTCATAGGGCATTCATTTTTTTTTTTTCATTCTTCAATAATTGTTTGCAGAGAAACGACTATGTAGTACATAGCATTCACTTGATTCAAATGGTTATTGAGAACTTACTTTGTGCCAAGGTCTTTATTGGGCACTAGGGATACAGTAATGAATAAGAAAGATGCGATCCCTGTCCTCACAAAGACAGAGCTCATTGAATGCTTGTGGAAATTAAGTAGAGACATTATTTGGTTTCACAGTGGTCTTTTCATTTAGGAGATAACAGACTGCACCAAGATACTCTTGAATAAATAGCAAAATCCAGTTAAGGGAAGGGATGTTCCCCCTACTCGTATTATCAGGGCATTTAAAAGAGGCTGGCCTACGCAGCTAAATTATAATGCGGGTGATAAGAGGTATGAGGTTGCATGGGAGCAGAGAAATGTGTCCCTTCTACCTCACTGAGTTCTTTAATTGCTGCTCTTTTGAGCCAGGGCTTCCTCTGGACTAAAACCCTTTCTCATTCCTATTCCTGTTTATGTTTCTATCATCCATTTGTCCCACCAGAATGGAAACTTCCTGGAACCCTACATGGCAGAACTTACCTGGAAGGCATTGAGGAGGGTAAATATGATATGGAACATGATGTTGGTCTTCTGGAACACAGTGGCAAAACCAAAACCCCACGTGAGCCCCAAAAGTGGTGTGAGGACCCCAATGCTCTTGCTGATCTGGAACAGGCTGCTTTTCTCATGCTTACTTGGCTTGTCTCCAATGGAAGGCCTCAAGATCTTGGTGACGACCACAACTGTGATAGTCACATTTACTGCCACAATCATCAGTGCTGGGATGACAAAGGCCAGCAAGGCCTTTGTGTCCTCCCAGTTGAGCCAACAGGCATCCTTCCTTGTGTAGACCTCCTGTGGCTGGGTGGCCCCCACCGTGATAACCGAGATGACAAGAGGGCAGCCATAGCCAAGAGAAAAGGCAATGGCCTTCTGAATGGATTTGCTTGTGTCATGTAGAATGAAAACCAGGCGATAGAACAGCATGAGGCCCAGCGTCAGCATCCAGAAGAAGACACTGAGATAGAAGAAGTGGATGAAGAAGGTGGCAGCCACACAGGCTGTCTTGTTGAGTGGATAATGATGGTCCTGGATGGCGGCAACCACGATGAACCAGGTGTCAGCAACCAGAAGGGAGGTGGCTATGTTCACTATGCAGGTGTGGCGCATATAGGAAGTCCGGTTCTTAGTCACTGATTTCCACACCACAGCCTCTACAACCAGAGTGGCTGCCAAGCTCAAGATGGAAAAGCCCAATCCAATGTAAGAAATAATATCCAGGAGTATTTCCAGGAGAGAACCAGGGTCTGGAGAATCAGGGGACATGAGGATGGAGAATGATGTTAGGTGGTCACAGGTGCAGGAGACGCTGTCCCCATTAACTTCTTTAACATGGCACCCACTGCTGTCCCACCCACTTGTGTGGTTGGTGAGGCTGAAGTTCCAGAAGACACATTGTAGTTTCCCACCCGAAGGGTTGTTGTTCTTAAAAGTCATTGAAATCCTGAATGGCATGGCTATATTGTGGCTGACAGTGGTTGTCATCACTAAGCTGTTTGCAAAATCCTTTTGCTGAATATCCTGAGCAAGAATAGTTTGGAGGGTTGGGAAAGCCACAGTGACAATAGATGAACCTGGCTGCAAGTTTTCCACCTGGCACTCGTCAATGACAACATTGCCCCACAGGTCAGAATCTAAGAAGACAAATCTCTGCTGGTAGGTTTTTGGGTGGCTGGGTTTTATTGCCATGCTCCTCATTTGCACATTAGTTTGAGAGATGAACAAGTTGGTGCTATCTTCTGTCCGTAATGCTCGGGAAAATCTTTCCACTGAATGCAGTAGCTGTGAACTCTGGTTGGTCCACTGCTGTTGTAAAACCTTCCAGATTTTCAGGATGGGCTTGTCAAGGATGATGTTAATGGTAGAGAGCACATGCTGTAAGTGACATGGCATAGGATCAAACCAAGCAAATCCTTTCAATCATAGAACAGAAAAAAAGAATATCTCTCTGGAAATTGGTTGAGTGGGTACAGGTAAGAGGAAAAGTGAAGAGAAAATTGAAAGATTACAGGCAATGGGGAGCTGTATGGCAGATGTTAGCAGAGGATGGATCCCGAAGACCATGAGACTCCACTAAACATTTAGGAATAGCGACAGTGGGAACCACACCCCACACACCCCACACACATCTCACATATACTCTGCTCACTAAGGCCAATTCAGCAGGCTGCCAGAGATATTTGTTGTTCTGTTTTATTTTGCTTTAAATCTCAAGGCTGCAATGGCTTTTTGGTGGGTGGTATTTCACCAGTGAGGGTGAGGAAGTCTCAGAAGACCCTCTCAAACCCTGAGCATGAAACGACCTACCCAAGTATTGTCAAAGGCATCTTTCTTTTCTGCTAAACAGTTTGATTCTCTCTCCCATAAACTTGGGCTCATCATGTTCCATTCATGCCCTCCCCCAAAATAATTTATCTGCCCTCTCTGCTTCTTCTGTCCTCTGGAAATATGATCCCTATAGTAGGTTGAATGGTGGCCACCAAAATATCCTAAAACCCCAATTCTGTGAATGTAACCTTATTTGAAGAAACAGTCTTTGTAGATGTAATTAAGGATCCACCCTCAATTACCTAGGTGGCCCCTAAATCCAATGACAAGTATCTTTACAAGAAAAAAAAAAAAAAAGAGGAAACAAGTGGAGAAGAGGAGAAGGCCATGTGAAGACAGACACAGAGACTGGAGAGACGCCATTCACAAGCCAAAAAGCACCTGGAGCCACCAGGAGCTGGAACGGCAAGGAAAGATTCTCCTCTAGAGCCCTTGGAGGGAATGTGGCCCTGCAGACACCTTGATTTCAGACTTCTAGTCTCCAGAACTGTAAAAGAATAAATTTCTGTCACTGTAAGCTACCTAGTTTGTGGAAATTTATTATAGCTGCCCTAGGAAAGTTATATAACCTCTTTGGATTCCATCACCAAGCTTCTAGCCAGTTGGCCTTGGGTTGGGTTCAGCCAGTGAGAGGCACTGGAAGGAGATGGGAGAGTGAGAGAAGAGAGAAGCTGAGATACATTCTCTCTGATTCCCTGGCCCTAGTCGCCTCCATCCTCAGCACTTCTCTGATAGTAGCTATGGCCTTCCCAGGCTATAGCTCCTGCCGAGGACTCCCTCCTCCAAGGCTTCAACTGTCACTGGGCTCTGGGTGCACTATTTCCTCTCCTCTCCATAGGGGGTGGTAATGGCTTCTAACTGTTGCTGGTCTCTGGGTGCCTCACCACCTGTTGTTTTTTTTAACCCTGGCTTTACCTCTGTAAGCACCCCTTCACTAAAGTCTCTTTATCTGAACTCCTGTGATGAATTCTCCTTCCTCCCAGAGCCTTGATTGCTTCAAAGGTTGTGTTTAGTACTAGACCTTTGAGGATCCCACCTTGTACATATTCTGAAAATCTTTAATTCCTAGTTTTCCTGTAAAACAAATAATAATCCATTCTATTTTAATGAAGAAATTAAGCAGAGATTCACTAAAGAAATCTTAAGTTCTCAAAATGAATCCTGGAAATGCTCCCTGATATCCTAAAAGCTGTAGCAGGCAGAGCATGTTATGTGACTTGAATACCCAGAGAAAAAGATGCAATGGGGAGGAATGATGTTTCGGCGGGGAGAACTGCTGTGTGTTTCTGGAACACACATCCTGAAAAGGTAAGACCCCAACTCCTACAAGCGGTAAGTAAACTCACCATCATCATCTCTGAATTCACTTGGGTTGGAACTGTCGAGAGCAAATCAAGGATGTTAATCACGGCTTGCAGGTTCCCAGGAGATGAGCCGATGCCGTGTTCCACCTTGCCCACGCTAGTAGACAGAGTCTTCAGGTAGGTAGGAAGCTTTGCATCTTGAGAGGGGCTCTTGACCAAATTCTAGTAAAACAAAAGCCAAACCGAGCAAACGAAAAAGTTGCTAGTCAGTCCAGCCATAAAATTCTGCTGATCCATTCATGACAAAAAATCTCTCACATCTGTAGATTGCTTTTTCCTCCATTCCCATAAGTACATCCCATAAAATAACATACTTATCTCTTAAACTATCTGAGCGTGATTTTCAGAATGGAATATGACATAAGATCTCACACAGAAAGGGGCATAGTAAAACCTATGTCAGCCTGATAGCTACGACGGCTGTGATTGCTCGAGAACTAGATGAAAGTTGAGTAAAACTGTCACTTAGACAGTCTGCAGGGAAGCACATTTGCCACTCTGCTTTTTCTCATATACTTATCTTGCTGATCATAAGGTGACTGTCATTCCAATTTTCCCGGGACAGTTCTGGTTTATATCTACTCTCTTAGAGTAATTATTAAGAGTGCTCTCTTAGATGGGAGGAAGGAATAACGAGAAGACATTGTTTAATGGGCACAGAGTTTAGGTTTAGGATGATGGAAAAGTTTAGGAAATAGAGGTAGTGGCTACAAAGCATTCAGAATGTAATTAATTCCACACAGTTGTATGTTTAAAAATGCTTAAAATGGAAATTCTTATGTTTTACCACATTAAAAAAAAAAAGAGTGCCCTCTTTTATTCTCCAAATGTGTCCTGATTTGAATGATAGATTATATGGTTACCCTATTTATAATGATAACACTTAATGTTATCTAACTCTTAACACCTGCTTATAACTACAGAATGAGATCAAATTCTATCTTCTATAGAAAGCCTTTGATGAGTGTTCCAACCCAGGGGAGTTCTTTCCTCTAAATGCACTCGTATTTGTTTTATTTAACATGTTTTACATCTGTGACACCTCTAGTAATGTCATCTTGTTTTAATTTTAATATCTCTCCAACTAAATTATAAGCTCCCTAACAGTGTGGACCACGTGTCATATTTATTGAAGTCCTTCTCATATCCCATAACGCCTAACACAGCACAAGTCATATAACTTGGCACATAGTAGGTGTTCAATAGATGTATGTTAGATAGAGAAATCAAATGGAGCATGATAGAATAGCGTGACCCTTTTTCATTGAAAATGTATCTAGGTATTGGATACATTGGGACCAGGGTCCACATTAAAACCAGGGCCCATACTGAGTTCAAATTATACTTTCTATGTTTTTTGATTAGGATAAATTTATATCCCCCCTGTTCCATAGATCAAAGTTCAACTCAGATGCCAAGTTTTTCAAGCAGAATTTCCTGATTTATCCTGGTCAAAATGAGTGTGTATATAACTACTCGACTAGACTATATTCATCATCAAATCAGAGGCCAAGTTCTGATTTGACACTCTTCCTAAACAGCACTTACAATAATGCTTTGCACATATGGGGTATTTTAATGAATTTGGTGCAATATAAGAGGAGAGACAGAATATAAATAGATAGAACATAAATCAGTACTATCTCTTTTTTCCTCAACTCTTCCTCCAGTGGTGAGAGAGGATTTGGAACTGGTTGTCTCAAAACGTCAACATTCACTATCACATCACTAGTTGCATCATCGGTACTTATTTATTGTACTTACGGAATTTTAAGAGTCTCTAACTTACAACAAATTAAGTGTGCAGGTGACATTTATTTATTTTGATAGAAAAAAAGGCATCTTCCCCTGCCACATAGTGGTAACCTCTATTCTAGGTAAGAAAGGGAGGGTAGTTCCCTCTTTAGAAGTACGGGTTACCTATAAGGATTGAGGAAAATCTCAGACCTGCAAAAGCATAAAGCCCAACTATTTTTTTTGACCGATGGACTTTATTTTTTTATATTGCTCCTCTTTCTGAGAAGATTATAGCTATTTGCTCGATATCAAAATTATTCAAAGAAGAGCAATAAGACAGAGGATAACACCATTGCCACTTGGAGTATTGGACACAAGCTTCTGAGAAGTCAAGGTTAGGGTATCCAGCTGTTCCTAGAGTAGAACACATACTTCATTGTTTTCATATTCAAATTTAAGCACTTTAAAAGTATTTCTAGGGTCGCATCTTCTTTGGAAATAAATAAATAAAAGTAGCTTTTGGAGCAATACAAACCAAACCAAGACCCATTTTCCTAAGTGCTGAGAAATATGTTAAGCCACTCAGATCTCCCCACCAAGAGCTCAGAGTCAAAGGTTTAAGGATCACCTTGGCCAGCCAGAGCAGACTATTTATCGGGGCAGAGATGCAGTCATTTTTCACCACCTTCCACTGGGAGCCTACACATTTGTAAGTGATGATTCCACCAACAGGACTGCCAGGGCTTCTGGAAACTCTTGAGAACTGACATAGCTTCTTGATGACTTTCCCAGGCTCCCCGATACCTATTACAGGATCGTGGCATGTGATGTTCTCCCCTGCATTGGAAACAGAAATAAAAAGGACAATTGCAAGAAGAAGAAAGGATAGTGGAAATAGGGTCAGGGTTAGGTAATTTTGATGTTTAATTTCAAATTTCTCTTTACTTTCAATGATCTTTTTGTAGTTTTCCAATTTTTCAAATCTGTCCCTGATTTTTCCAAAGCCCCTCATTGCTTTCCACACAGATCTGACTCCCATAATCTGCAGTTGCTTTTCCTAACAGAATTTATGTTTTAATCTAGGGATTCGCAACTGTGGCATGTTAGAATCACCCGGGGAGCTTCTGAAAAATGCCAATGTCCAGACTCACTCCAGCCCAGGTAAATCAGTCTCTAGGGCTGGGATTCAGGTATGTGCAGTTTTTTAAGTTTCCGTGGTGATTCCAATGTGCAGCCAAGATTGAGCAGCACTGCCATAATCCAAAGACATAATTAGTAGTAGGAATTCCAGGGACCCATGACCTGAATATTGTAAGTGATGTGTTTCAGCATTCGTTCCTTCTGGTTTCCCTTAAACGTGGCTCTATTTCACCTCTACCCACACAAAAATGGAAAAAATGACATTTGTTGCAGAATCTCCAGAGGATCCTGACTCTGATGAGCAGACGCTCCCTCACCAACATTTTTACTTAGCATTAATTGAGACCTCAACACTGTATAAAATCTTGAAACAAATAAGTGATTTTCTACTGGGAAAAGGAAGTAGAATGAGATTTGGTGTAAAGGACGAGAACAAAGATAAGTGAATAAAACATGTTGTCTAAGATTGTCTAATGAAGAGGTGACCTTTGCTGGGCAGTGCTTGGCAGGGTCAGGGGACAGAGAAATGGAGAACTCTAAGTTGCTTTCTGCTTTGGTGTCCAGAGCCCAGCTCTTAACACATGTGAGAATGACCATAAATCATTCAGTAAACTCCAACTAACTCCAACTAACATGGCAATGGAGCCATGGCTTTTTCATATATGAAGCGTCCTGTTCCTGGGAAGACTTAGGAGGGCAGAGGAGTTGCTTATGGTAGAAGCCCAGGATCATCATGTATCTTCTTGCCCCTCTGCTGCTACTGAGATTGCTTTTCAGCATGGGCTATTACAGAAATGGCTCCACGAATCATAACCTCTTACCTTAAAGACATTACGTGGGGCATATTGGCTCAGTGATGGCAAAGGATGGGAAAGGCAGTGCTTGTTCTTTAGATCCAATCCTTTCCTGTAGCCCTGTCTCAGGAAAACAGTGCTAGTGGGGACACCCTTCCTTTGCTGAAGTCTCAAAGAAATGTTAACCCCACACAGATACTGTCCACTCTTATCTTCCTGGTGAACTGCTGAGTCCCAGACTCAGCAGAAGTATGATTTCATCTGCAAGGCTATCTTGATCATTTCCTCCCCACCTTCCTTCAGCAGAGTTACGCCAGGTGGCCTCCTGGCCACCCACAGCATCTCTGTTTAGCACATACCACATGATACGTGATAGCACTTTTTATCTCCTCTATCTCTCCCCTAGGCTCAAGTCCAGGGAACATGGCTTATTTCTTTTCAAGCACCCCATAGTGAGCCCAAGGCTGCCACAGTGAAGATATCTAACATACATTGACTGAGTGGATGCTCGAGGGAGTGAATGAATAGGTGAGACCCTGCTCCTGACTATATAGCATTTTAAGGTCATTTAAAACACTCTTACCAGAAACCAGATTAAGCTTCATAGACGGGCTCTGGACTGAACCATTAGCGGCATTGGTAAAGCGACAAAACACAGCCACAGTTTTTGGACACCAAGAAACCGAGTTGGCCATGAAATTGTACTTGTAGCACACCTGCTTCCCATTAACTTCTTTGGCTAAAGACAGAGTTATTGGAAGAATTAAGTCAAACATGAGTATCCAAAGCACAAATTTTGTTAAGATGATCCAATATGGGTAAAACTGTCCAAACTTTTTTCAGGAAAGTCCCACACTCATTTGCAATGCGTTTTTACATATTTACATGGTTTTGTCTCTGGCTTTTGGGAGTAAGCCAGCCCACATTTGCATGTGTGCTAGCCAAAACTTCACCTCTATCATGCACAACCCCAAGTCTGTGTCCACACATTTTGACAATCAGAATGCCATTTCAGTATACCTCTAATCCCTCTGCTTATCTAACTCCCCTCATGCTCTGTGCATTAATCCTACTCTGCCTTCACCACACTGGCTAACAGTCACCTCTTTGTGGGTCCGTCTTCTCCACTAGACCATAAGCTCCTGGAGAGAAAGTCCCTGGTCTTATTTACTTTTGCATCTCCCAGTGTTTAACTCAGTATCTACCACATAGAAAGCACTCATTGTATGCACATAGTACATAGAATGTTGAAATGTTTGAATATTTCAATATCCAGATTGATTTCATATCTCCCTACCACATAGTAAACACTAAATTCTAAACATTCCAGTTGTTATTGGGTCCCTGCTTTTCTAAACTTCCATTGTTCTTTCAACCTGTGTTATTTGTTCTGGATATTTAATGTTATATGCGTTGCTTTTATGACATGGACACTTATAAAGATTTAAATGTGACTCACTTCTTTTGTCTGCTTTTCATTGCCTGCTCTGATGTCTTGCATTGAGCAAGTCCCCAAGAATAATTATTGAGAGAATGAGCAAGTTCGTAAATCCCTCATAAACGTGTTTGTGTTTTGAGATTTGGGGTTGTTAGCTCATGTTTGGTAGACCTGAATCTCTGAGAATCCTGAGGGATCTGGATTGAGAGCACATTCTACCAGAAAGGATTTGAATTTTTTTTTTTTTTTTTTTTTTTGTTCAGATGACATAAGGTGCTACCAATGGACCACTTTAATCTAATTATTCCTCAGCTTGGAGTTCCTGAACCACATAGTCAGTATAAATTCAATTCCCAAATGTGGGTGAGGGCAAGACAATTATAATTCTCAGGGGAAACATTTTGCCCACCCAAAGTTGAGGCCAACTTTGGCATAAGTATTTTGGTTTTTTAGCCTACTCTTTTTCTGAGTGTGTCAACCTTTAAAGGCCATGACATTGTGCCAGTGGGGTGAAAGTGCCTCAGTTACTGCTTAGAAAGCAGAGTCTTTTCTTTAGTGCCCTCCAGAGCCTTAAAACGCAAGGTTCTGGGTTTTTGACATTGGCAAATGCCTGCAGGGAAGCCCCAGCATTAGCTAAGCATTATTTCTATTTTCTTCTCTTTGTTTTTGGCATTTGGTTATGTCTTTTACTTTCTTGCATGCTCAATTATTCACTTGAAAGAATTTTTGTGGCACTTTTATAGCATGGTATTTTATAGCATGACAGAGGGGGCTATCAGAATAGAATATCCAGTCTGCTAGACTGAGGAAGTGAAAATCCTAGGAAGGCATCTTAATACTATCTTAACAGCTCCCACTAAAAAAATGGGCTTCACCCTCATAGAATGCCAAGATTTTGTCACAAACCAATAAGCCACCAGCCACATGGAAAAACAGAAGGTAACAGAGGCTCATGGCATTCTGCTTTTTATATTCTATCTCTGATTCAGTCCCTGTGTTTCTTGATCTCTATTTTAAGAATAAATTTTTAGACTCCACATTTATGAAATAATATATTCTAACAATTCAGCAGTTGACATCTTACCGGCAGGAAAAGACAAGGACTCCATTTGGAAAATTACTTTGTAGTCTTCATCCTCCTGTATGCAGCACCTCAAGCCATGGGAACCACCACACCAAACACTAGTTTCCAAAGGATCGACCATGATGTTTGGCATTAGAGGCAGCGGGTGAACAGTGACATGTTTGGTGGCTACACTGTATGAATTCTTATATCTAAATATGCAGTGATAGGTTCCTGAGTGGAAGAAAGCAAAAATGAGATGGAAGAAAATAATCACTCTTAAAAGGCATTTGCTGGGAAGGAGAAGAGGTGGCTTGGTTCCCCCACTCAAGCTTGGGCAAGGGCACTCCACACCTTCCTGGGTGCTGGAGGAGAACCTGCTTGATTGACCTGGATTCTCCGCTTATTCGAAGGTTCCTAATTTCTACTCCAAGGCTGTTTCACCAACCCCAGAAGCCAATGGGAATCTTGGTGTGTGCAGGGATGGGGAGATTTTTGAAGAGCGTGGTTGACCTGATGAAGCATGTGGTGTCATGAGCGCCCCTTCCCATTTCTATATGAGCAGGCCCTTGAGGTTGCAGGACACCATGGCACCAGAGGACAAACCACCATTTGACCAGCTGCTATGGAGACAGTAGAGCAAGAACATAACGGCACCTGCAGTTACGTAAGACCCTTTGATTTGCTTTACGTTCTTTCTCTTTGCCCCAGCTCTGGAGGAGCGAGAAGCAGCAGCGAACCAGAGAAAAAAGAACTAGGAAAGACAAGAAACTCCTTTCAATTTCCGTTGGGAGGAAGGGGGAGTTTAAATGGAATATAAAATGAAAATGTAGTAGATTTAGATCAGAATATATTTTTTTCAGTACTTGAGTATGAAACTACTTAATAGTTTAATGTAATTGGAAGGCTATGGTTCCTCCTAGGTTATTGTCCAGTATTAGAAAAGAGCAACTGGACAGAGTAGGTTTGAGTTCAGCCTCGAAGAAAAGTTCTCCCATTTCCTGATTGCATACTACCAAGTCCAGACCAAACAATAATTAAGTATTTCTACAATGTTGCCTAGGCCTTACATGAAAAGATAGACATGGGACTCACAGCATCTGGACTGATTAGACTTATAGTTAATGGAAGGCTTCAGACTGGAGTGGTTAAGAGTCGGTCACCAGAGCCAGACAACCTGGGTTTGCATCCTGGCTCTGCCATTTACCAGATGTATAACCTTGGGTAATTTACTTAAGCTCACTGGGCCTCAGTTTCTTCTTCTTTATAATAGAATTGACCTCTACATTGCATGTTTTAAATGAATTAGCACAATTAAGTACTTAACATAGCTCCTACCACACAGTAAGGGTTCAATAAAAGCTAGCTATTACTGTGACAGTTCTGTCTGTCAAATTCTCTTTCCTTTTAAAGATTCACATTTCCTTACAACATGAACAACGAATAAAGGTAAATAGGAAATAAAAATGTTTCTTTGTTTGGAACCAGGCATATAAAACCTTAACTAATTTTTCTATAACAAAGTTGGGTGAAACATTCCAAGTGTCTAGTAAAAATACTTTTAAAAACAATCCCCTTAACTTAATGACAAGAGCACAGGCTGGAATCAGAGAAACTTGTTCCAAGCCTTGCTCTGCAACTTAAATTGTATAATCCTAGGCATATTTATTATCCTCTCTGAGCCTCAATTTCCACATCTGTAAAATGGGAATAATGACATCTGCCACCAAAGGACTGTGACATTAAATGTGGAGATATATTTAATATGAAGTGGCTGGCATAGGCGTGTCCCAGGGCAGATCCTTCATGGATGGTAACTGTTGTTGCGTGTTTCCAGGGGTCCAGGCAGCACAATACAGTGTCTGGCCTATCACTCACCATTCCACTCCCTGGTCGAGGTATTGACCGCCAGTACTGACTCTGCTCCATCAGCATACCTCCTTGTGGTATAAAACCTTTGATATATTTTAATTCCAGCAGAAGTGTTCCAGTACATCTCATCATAGTTACTCACATCACTGATGCATTTTATAGAAAAGTTTTGTCCCTCAGAAACAGAAATTGGGTCCGGGGTTATTGTTATATTGGCTGAAAGAATGCAAACAAAACAGACAAAACAAAACCAACAAGTCCAATGTTTAGTCTTTCAGGGTGATGCAGGCACATGAGTGAAATTTAAGTTAGAGACAGAAAAAACAGGACCGTCCTGACTCTGCTTGTGTCAACAGGAGATTGGTACCTTGCTGCTCCTGGGCTTTATTTGTTTCTAGGCTGTTCCCAGTGGTGCTCTGAACTGTATTCATTTCCATCTCATGCCTTAGGAACTCCTTCACTTCCCCTTTGTGGCTGGAATTAGCTCCTGATGATCAGCAGGGCAAAAGGTTGTAAACTTAGGAGTGTGGACTTAACCCAAGATCCCCTCCAACCTCTTCTGTGACACCTCAAGGAGAATAAATGGCTGGGTATTGTAACAACTTCCTTCTCTACTCTTCCAAAATGCATTTTGATAATACCACATATATATAAATTTCTCTCTTTCCATATCTCTCCCTCCATAAAAATATGAGCCCTTTGCTTCTGTGTCTTTGTATGCCCAGCACTTAGTGTTTGGTCTAGTACACGGTAATGCATAATAAGCAAAGGAGTGAATTCTGGAACTACATTTTTAAGTAAGGGGATCACAGAGTTTATTACCCAAATAATTACATGTGGACTGTCTCATGCAAATTGTGATGTATGGGCACCTTAACTGTAATTGCAATTATATAATTATAGTAATAAAATTATTTATGTATGCAATTGTAATTAAAGCAGCTGTAAATTTACTCTTTCTGAGAAGTTCCTCATAGGCTCATGAGAAATCATTCACCAAAAATGTTAATAAGACCATTACAAATATGAAAGCGTATATGAATGTCCCACTATTTTTGCCTCTTGTTCTATCTTTCAACTTCTCTTTGAGCTTGTCTTTTTACACGGTTGACATTGCAAAGTGCCATTCACTTCAGTCTTCCATAGGTGCCTTGAGCCCACTATCACTGGCCTGCTTTTCCAATCAGTGTAAAATTTTAACCTTAATCATAATGAAAAGAAATCAGAAGCCCTTCAGAAGCTGTGATTCAAATATTCAGTTGCACCCCAAAGTCACTCAAGCAAGGTATAGCGTGTGCCTCGCGTTGCCCTCACTGGCTGCAGGGGTCTTGAGATGGTTCTCTAAGGTTTAGCTGTTCCTGAGAGTGGAAAGGAAAAGGCTCATGAAACCACTAATCTGGTTCTCCTCAGTCTCAGATGAGGTCTAGACAACCAGACCTATGATTTCCAGCAAAGACAAAACATGTCCCTAAGACATGCCTCATTTTTTCAGGTAAGGGCTAAGTTATAATGAACAATTTGAGGAAAGATGAGGTCATCTGAACACATTATTGCCATAGAAGAGCTCATGGGTCTTTTGAGCAACTTGCAGTTTTCTCTAGCAAGAGTGATTACGTACTCCCAGTTTGAAACCTCAGAGTCGGGTTAGTCATGTGGGCTCATATAAACCTCATTGTAATTTTTGTTAAAATGCTATGTCACAATAGCAGCCAACATGGACGAGAGTATCAAGTACAGCCTATATCAGTCCTTTCTCTAAGTTGTTCAAAAAGGGTCTGATGACTCATCTAAACAGCTCGTTTTTGTAAGACAGGTGGAAAAACAAGTTTGAATCCCCATTTTTGCAGATGGGGTGCAACTATAATGCTTTATGATATGAGGAGAAGTGATAATTTTAAGAGGCCTAATTTAACTGAATTGAGAAATTAAAAAACACTTGTTTCAACTGTAAAAATAACCACAATGTATTAGATTTTTAAAGCTTTCTGCAGCCCTATCTATATATAGAATAGGTGAAATGGGCTAGGAGGGACGACGGAGGGAGTTGAGGGGCAGTGGGGGACTGAGCCAGGCTGTTGGATTGTCTTTTTTTTGGCAGTTGGCCGGTATGTATCAGGATCCAAATCCTTGACCAACTGAGCCAACTGGCCAGCCACAAGGCTGTTGGAATTTAAGAAAGGGAGAGTGAGATCGTGGGAGGAAAAATGGGGAAACTAGGGGCTTTGTCCTCATTATAGATTCACTGATAATAGGACTCACCTGAGTGGGAAACTCTTTTTCCTAGCCCGCCTTCTGCCTTACCAGTACAAAGCCACCAGTTCCTTTTCTGCAGCCTCTGTTTCCTACCCTTACCCTTCCTGATTTTGAAAAGACTCCATCCAAAGTTAAATGGCAGAGAGGGAACTCCTCTTCTATCTCCCACTGTGTGATGTGCCCCGACCACATCCCACTCCCAGAGAAGGCCCTGCTTTGTTTTTCTCATAGATATTCCCAGCTGATTGGCAGCCCTTACTTAGGGTGCAACATATGTATGACTAAAGATTCTAGTGAAAGAGTCCTTACCCACAGAGATAAATGTCACTTCTATGTTCTTCCTGCCTCTGGCTCCACGGATGCTGATGAACTCACAAGTGTAGACTACTTTTGTTCCAGATGACCCACTCGGGCATTGGGTTCCATCAGCCTTGAGGGTGTAATTGCTGCAGCTAGAATCTATGTCTGTTTCAGCGTTTCCTGGAATGACATAAGCGATTCTTTTGCTGTCACAATTAGCTAACTCTCTGATTTAGTAGCAAAGAGGCCAAATCAGTAAAAAAGAGTTACTATTTAAATAGAGTTCTTCTCTTTGAATGGAGAGACAAGATAGTGGTTAGGTCTGCAAACTCTGAATTCAGGTCGCCTGGCTTCCCAAACTATACCACGTAACCAGCAGGGTATTGTTGAGAAAGTCACTTAACTGTTCTGTGTCTCAGTTTCTCCGGATATAAAATAGGGATAAGTAATAATAGCTACTGGACTGTAGCCAGGTTCAATGAGATTATATGTTTAAACACTTAGAACAATGCCTGGCTGGAGTCTGACCCTAACAAAGACCATTAGTGATGGCCACTGTAATGTGAAAAATACAAAAGAGGAGCAAGGTGTTTGGGTATAATTTTAACTGAAAGGAAAAAATATGTCAGATTATTTGGACTACTATAATTACTGAATAAAGGATAAATAATGGGACATCTGATATTCATATGATTTAAGAAGCATTTTTTATAGTTTGTTCCCACTTTAAGTCTCTATGTTTTAGTGGAAGCTTCAATCTCATGCTTTTTCAGTTACCAGCAGTTTCTCCTTTAAAACAGCTCCCTTTCCATACCTTCCTTTCCATTTCCAGAACTGTCACACTCTCCAAGCCACCTTTGCCTCTGGCCTAGGTTTCTACTTCCTACCTTGTGGCTGATTTTTCCTACTCCAGTCCCTCCATTCTCTCTCCTCCCAGAGAGGGGGCAGCCAGGAGAGGAGGTAGAGGGGCAGGGAGCCAGAGCAAAGGCTAAATTCATCAGAGTAACGACTGTGCAGGTCCCTAGGCAGCCACTGCTGTGGCAGGAAATCCATTGTTCTGTAGTCAGCTCGCTCTGGGCATTGGGAATGTCTGAAGAAGTGGTCGCAGTAGAGAGGTCTCTGAGCATCTGCAACGCACACTTCCTGGTTCCTCTGCCAGAGGGCAAGGGTTTTCACCTCTCAGAGTCAAAAGCTTCTAAGTCAGTACCAGGGGAATTGTGCAAGGCCTTTTTCCCATCTGGCAGTCCTTCAGGATGCCTACACCTCCTCTTCCTTAAAAATCAGGGAAGTGACTAAATAAATGTCCCATGTGTCAATATTTTCAACAGTTACCAGATGCCTTTCTCATTCTTCTGAGTACAGTAAAGTCAAATACAAATGCTGCAGGTGAAATGTGCTTTGCAAAATAGATGCACTCAGGAAAATTGGTATGTAAATTGATCACTTTATTTTATAATTTAATATGGTTCAATAGCAAAGGCTTTGTAAAATAAAAGCTTACTGCACTAATGAGTTTCATGGTAAAGCCATATTTTACTTTAAAGAGGAGCACATGATACTGTTGTTTTTTAAGAGATGAACTGAATTTTGTTCTGAATGGTAGAAAACAGTCTTCTTCAGCCCAAACTGGCTTCACTTCAGACCAACTGGCTCCAGTGCTGGCTCACCAGGCCTGGGTAATATGATTTGGCCAAGACAAACACTGGTCTTGTGAGACAAGATCTGCGGTGAGTCCCAATTCTTTCTTTTCTTTCTATATTTTGGCATATTTGGATAAGTCATTTAACCTGGACCTCAATTTCCTTATTTGCAAATTGGAGATAAAAATGCCAGCTTCAAATTGTGTTCAAGTTTAAATATGATTAAAAGCGATAACGTATTTCTCAAAAGCAGGTTAAGTATAAAATGTTACACAAAACAGAGTTTAATCTATTATTTTTATCATCATTCATCACTATAAACTGGAAGGTAGAGAATTTCAGGTAAGATCTTGGGTCTAAAACAAAAGCAAACAGGATTAGAAACTGACATAAAACAATTAAGAGACCAACAGGTCTACAGAGATAGATATAAAGCCAGAGACTCAGAGATAGAAAATATTGAGGTAAGCATAGATACAAAGGCAGAAAAGTGAGGACAGACACCAAGAAAAGAGAGACACAGAAGTGAGAAGCTCCAAGTCAGACTTCAATAAAAAGTCAATGGTGAGACTTCCAGTCAAGATGGTGGAATAGACGGTCCCCAGCGTCATTCTCTCCCCAAAATCAACAAATTTACAACTATAAAAATGTAACTTCATCCAAGCTGGGGCCACTGGAGCTCAGGTAAAGAGGAGGAGAGACCTATGGAACTCACGAAGGCAGGAGAAGCCACGAAGAGAGAAAGAAAAAACTGCTCAGAGCATTTTGGCTGCAGCGGCTTTAATGCTGGAGTGCATGGAGCAGGACCCGGCAGAAGCCGTGGCTGTGCCCTTTAGATGGAATCACTTGGAGGCGGCAGGGGAGAAGTGGACTTTGGTGGCCCCCAGGACAGCAAGACCACTAACAGGGTTCCCGTGGACCCATGCAGGAACAAGGAGCCAGAACAACTGAGAAAGGGAGCCATTCAGAGGCCAGTGAGTCAACACAGGGGACCAGTGTAGGGCCCATCCCATGGGAAGTGTTTAGAGCATGGCCGGTGGGGGGATGGGCCCACCGGGAGAACAGTGGGACACAGCAGGGATGGCCGATCCGCCCCCCAGTCAGTGCAGGACCACTCAGAGGAGACTGGTTGGGGATGCAGAATTGCATGGGGTGCAGTTCAATGAAAAAACTCAGGCCCAGATCAGAGTTTCTACACAGCCCAGGTGCACTGAGTATCTGGAGAGCCGGAAGTACCTATAAGGTCAACCATTAAACCCTGAGATGCACAAAAAGCCTTCCGTAGGGAAACAGCAGCAAAACAGCAATTTAGCTCAACCACACAGCTCAAGTACCGGTTCCCACAGGAAGTTCCCCTGTTTTAGAAGTAAGCAAAGGACAAAAACTTAGTTCTGGCTCAGGCACACCATGAATGTCTTGGGGTCCACCAGGGGACATGAGGCATGGAGCCAGGGGCAGGACCTCCACCCATAACCACTCACACCACCAGCACCTCGGGGCCCCACCTGGGAACCCAAGGATTGGAGCCAAGGACCAGACCCCACTCCCACATACAGGCACACCACCAATGCCTAGGGGCCTACCCAGGGACCTGGGGCTAGCAGCCAGGGACCGAACCCCCTTCCCACAACCAGGCATGTTGTAACAGTGCCTCAGGGCCCCATCTAGGGGCCCAAGGCATGGAGAAGGGGACCAGACCTCCCTCCCACAACCAGGCACACCACTCCAGCACCTCGGGGTCTGCCTGAGGACCTAAGGCATGAAGAAGGGGACTGGATGCCCCTCCCACAACCAGACACATAGCACCAGCACCTTGGGGCCATCCTGGGGACCCAAGGCATGGAGAAGGGGACTGGACCCCCTTCCCACAACCAGGCTCACCATGCCAACACTTCAGGGCCTGCCAGGGGACCCGGGGCATGGAGAAGGGGACTGGACTCTCCTCCCACAACCAGGCTCACCATGCCAGCACCTTGGGGTCCACCCAGGGACATGGGATAAGGAGCTGGGACCAGATCCACCCTCCCACAACCAGGCATGCCAGGTCAGCACATCAGGGCCCACCTAGGGGCCCGAGGCATGGAGAAGGGGACCAGGTGCCCCTCCCACAAACAGGTACCCTGTACCAGCACTTTGGGGCCCACTCAGGGACCCAGGGGAAGGAGAAGGACTGGATTCCCCTCCCACAACCAGGCACCCCATGCCAGTACCTCAGGGCCTCCCCTGGACCTGGGGCATGGAGAAGGGGACTGGACCCCCCTCTCCCACAACCAGGCACACCACACCAGTGCCTCAAGGCCTGCCCTGAGAACCAGAGCATGGAGAAGGGGACCAGATCTCCCTCCTACCACCAGGCACACTGCACCAGTGCCTCGGGTCTGCCCATGGACCTGAGGCATGGAGAAGAGGACTGGACTCCCCTCCCATAATCAGGCACACTGTGCCTGTGCCTTGGGACCCACTCAGTGACCCAGGGCATAGAACTGAAGATCAGACACTCTCCACAACTAGGCACACTGCCAGCACCACAGAGCAGGCCAAAAACATCTCCTTCATGTGGGTGGCCCACCATAGCTACCACAATAACCATGGCTGCCACAAAGGCAGCTAGATGCCACATCCACCACGCAGATGGTCCACCAGCCACTGGAGTGAGTTGACACAAAAAGAGTCACCAGCAAAGATAAAGAAAGGAGGAGGATGTCTGTCTCCATAGAGCCCATTTCGTAGTGACAGAAGAGACATCTGCTCTATGATAGTATTGGGGGACCTGATCACGCCTCTCAGCACTGGACAGATCATTTGGGCAACAAATCAACAGAGTAACCACTATTCTTTCAGAGGGAGAGAAGAAATCTAGGGTGATTAGGGGGGGAGGGGGGAGAGAAAGGGGGATGAGAAGGGATTGGACAAGGGGCATAAAGAATAATTATAATTTGTAACAATATATGCTAGTAATATTGATTTGACCAACATTTCTCAATGTTGAAACCCAAAAATATGTATAATCAATTTGGATTCAATAAAAATTAAAATTAAAGAAAAGAAAATTGAAAAAAAAAGTCAATGACGTCATCTTTAGCTCTTTGCTGAACATAGAAACGAAGGTGGGGACAAGCTTCTCTGTAGCTGGGAACTGTCACGGACTTAAGTCATTGGGATTACTTCCTCTTGGTTCTTCTGCTGTGGACATCTTGTCCACAACCTAAGAATGACACCTGAATGCATGTATTTTTGGAGTTTTGTTCTGCAGTGGCTAAGCTGGAGCTGACATCAAACCTAATGCTTTTTCACAGTCTGAAGTCCAGAAAAAAACAGTCATCTGACATTTCCCTCATCCCGTCACATCTCCCATCTTTATTTGGCCAAGAGGCAAAAATCTACTTGCAAAGGGCTTATCCAACATCCTCACCTGGAATGCTTATTTTCCCTTCCTGCCTCCATTCTACTTTGCTCCAGTTGACATTATTCTCATAGCAGCAGTTCAGAGATACAGGATTGTTGTCACAAATCACCTTCATCTCTTCATTCGCCAAAATTCGGATGGGTGTAACATTTATTTTTTTCTTGGCCTCATATTCAAAAATATCTACTATCAGTTTGCAAACATATTCACCTGCATAGGAAACACAAAATCATTTATTCTTACTACTCATATGTATTTCCTTAGATAAATAACAGTCTCATCTTATGTGTCTGATAATACTTCATGGAGCATCATTTTCAAAAGCATCTGAGACTTGGTCTAAACACTGCTAAAGGAACATTCGGGAAGTGCAGAGGGTCAATGCAGATATTTCTGATGCTGCAAGGTAAAGAGCAAAGAAACGTTTTAAGGAAATAGCAGAAATTTCAGAGACTTTGCTAGTAAGAAAAAAAGTGTGGGAATGGAAGAGGTAGGAAAAATTGGAAGATCATGGATAATTTTGGCATCTCATTTAACCCTGTGGTAAAATCTGAATTAACAAAGAGGTGATAGGACCCATGTGTCTGCAGCGCACTTCATGCAGAGAAAAAGAGATGGCCTTGTTGACATCTGTGTTACAAAGGGAATTAAATTCTAGAATATGTCACATTCATCACTACTCTCAGTGAAGACTTATAGTTCTGTGGTTGCTTGGAGTTGGCAGGAGGGCAGGAAAAGGCAGAAAGGAGGGATTACAATGGAATACAAGAAAATTTAGTGGGGAGATGGATATGTTCACTATCTTAATAGCAGTGATGATTTCACAGGTGTACATGTGTTAAAACTTATATATACTTTAAATATGTGCAGTTTATTATATGTCAATACTACTTAAACAAAGCTACTTTAGATTTTTTAAAAATCCATTAAAAATTAAATTATTAATAAAATAATATTGCATACTAAAATAAAATAACAAAAATAAATTAATTTTTAATTAAATTAGTTTTTAATTAATTAAAAATTGATGTCACGGGATTAATTTCCAATTTTGTAAAGCAGAGCCAGGAGACTTCTTTAGAAGAGAAAAACACTATCTACGTGTTATCTGGTTTGCTTCTTTATGAGTGCTTTGTTCCTTTTCTCACACGAGTCATTGAAGGGAAACCCACCCGCATCACTCTGAGTGATGTTGTAAATGGTGAGGTTCGACACTGAAGTCATGTTGTCGAGCACGGTGGTGTAAATTGAGAATCTGCTGCTGTTCTGGATGTCGATGCATCCTTCTCCATAGTGCCAAGACACGTTGGAGGACAAAACTTCATTTTCACACACCAGACTTACTGTATCCCCTTCGAAGATGATTTCCGGTATGACAGAGAACTTAGTTTCATCTGGAAACCCAAAGAAAAAATGTTAGGATCCTAAAGCAAATAAATGCCATCAACACTACTCACCAGATGCCACCATCACAAGGGTTCTCAGAGGTCCCCCCAGCATCTGTGGTGCTCTGTGGGGCCAGGCAACGAGTTTCCTTACTCCATCCCTGTATAGCTGGTATCTGAAGCCCAAAGAGTTACAGTCTGCCAGATACGAGGGACACAATTTCCTGTTTGAGGTCTTTGCACCACGTATCTTAATACTGAAGAGTTCTTAATGGTTATAATGGGATCCCAAAGCTATTTTCAATATTCAAAAAAGTCTGGTAGAAAATTGCACATTTGCTTATGAAAAAGCCACATAAGCTAACTCAAACATCAAGTTTCTTTGTTACTGACTGGAATAATGTCAGCTGATTTTTACCAAAAACTGATTATTTCGTGCTCGCTGACAGCTCTGACCCAAGTCTCTAATGAGTTATAACTTGGAAAACAAGTTAATTATTGATAATAAATAAAGTATGTTTGGGAAATAAGAATTTTTTTTAAGACCAAACACCCATGGACCCTTAAGAGTGGGAGCTGTATAGACAGACAGGCCTGGATTTGTTCTGTCCCACATGGAACTGTATGGCCCTGGGAACTTGCTTAGCCATGATGAGCCTCAGCTCCTTTGTCTGGAAAACAGGAGAAGTGAGAACGACCTTGGAAGGTGACTTGGGTTATTTTTGAATGTGTTCTATGAACATCCTTTGCTTACACATGTAGTCTTTTCCTCTCTAAATTGTGTTTCTTGCGTGATGTCCTTCATGAGTTGTGTTTCTCAAGGGAATCAGAGGATCTGGGATTAGGAGACTCTGCGGGGCCTCTCTTGCATGGGGCTTTATGCTTGAGCCAGACCTTCCACAGTTTATAAATACAGGGATAAAACACCATAAAATTAATTTGGGGTGGGATGATGTTCTAGTCAAAATATCAAGGCATGTAAATTTTTCTTATCACTTTTTTTAGACCTCCAGTTAAAATAAAATTCTAAAATAATCATTCAACTATTAGGAAGCAAGGCCATCTATGAATATTTAATATAGTGCACTGTCCCTGAAGTCACAAACTTGTGACACTTACTATGTGTCCTTGAACAAATTATTTACCCTCTCTAAGTCTCCATTTCGTCATCTGTACAATGGAGATAATAATATCTACCTCACTGGATATATGAAGATGAAATAGAGGTAGACACACTGGGATTAATTCAGAAAAGATGCAGTGCTGCTGTTTTTATTTCTATTGTTGCTGATAAGTAAGATTCATAGAACTGCCAGTATTATTTGGTTATATGGAATTGAACGTAAATTTATCAGAATGATTAAAGAAGGGGATGTCATGGTTAAAGGACCTGCTGATTAATCAAACATCACCAGAAGATCAATGTATGACAAAATAAATGGAACTATTCTGAAGATGGCCACGTGCCCTTTGCATCTCATAAAGATGGATTTAAAAATAAGTTCCTGATACCAACTCATTCATTAGGCATTTTTCTTTCTTGCTCTCTTCCTCTCCCCACCTTCCAAGTACGATTATAATTTTTATAAACAATCAGTCACATGAATTTCTGGATGTCTATTTTCTGGGTTAGCAACACCCACACTATGGAGAACAGGGTGGTATCCGAGTTCCCTCATGGAGTTGCAGGTGGTACATATTCCTGTGTACTGGTCTCAGGCTGTGCATATCACAGAATCACATTATGGACTTAGAAGGACATAAAGGGGTGTATGCCCTCTCCAGAGGGGATGTTGAGTGCCATTCACAATGACTTCACTGCTCTTTGGAGGAACAAGCCATAGATAGTTTTGTGAAGTATACTATAGGCAGCATGTTTCTGGACTGACAGCATGATCAGTTAATCTGTGGGATACTTATTTGTTTAAATGGTTGATGATCCTCAGTACAACTAGAATTTGGGGGGAAGAGGAATCACAAGTGAAGTTTAACTATGCTAGGTACTTCTATTCTCCTATGCCTTCAGAACCAAAAATAAAAATAATTTTCCAGGGCAAAGAAAGCACATCTGTTGGTTGACCAGGTGGCATTAGGGGTCAAGAAGGGCTGGCGATGCTGTGATTGCTCCTGTGTGAGCCCACACTTTTAGACCATTTATTCATTTTCCTTTAATTTTCTGATTCTTATTTACATTTTGCTGACTTTTTAATTTTGCTGTTTCATCTTGCCTATGTTCTAGCACTTTCTTACATTGTATATATCTCTTATGCTTTCCTTAGCTAGTTTGATCATTTTCAAGATTTTATTTTAAAAATGACCTGATGTCTAAAAACATCAGCAGAGAATGTACACAGAAAGGGGTATAAACCTGCTGTGAGGACAACCTGACACCTGAACAGGACTTTTTCCTCCAGTTGCGCCTACAACAGTCTTTTCCGTGCCCTCTCCTGTGGAAGACCACTTCCATGCCTCCAAAGCAGAATGCCTTCACTCCAGAGTTGTGGACCTCAGTTATCCAGAACACCCCCCAGCCAATTCCTTCCTGCCAAATCTCTGCCTAGCCAGCTCTCCTTACTATCCCCAAGTAACAATAGATCCACCCATCCGTTAACACAACAGAGATCAACTCTGAACCCTGTCTGCAAAATGGGGGAGAATATCCAAAATCCCAGGATTTACCACTGTTACATGTAATCTAAAGCAGTGGTTCTCAAGCTTACCTGTGCATCAGAACCACCTGGAGAGCTTGCTGAAACACAAACTGGCCCTGGTAGGTCTGGGGTAGGCCCAAGAATTTGAATTTCTAACAAGTGCTCCGGTGCTACTGTGCTGCTGGTCTGGGGTCCCCACTCTGAGACCCACTGCTCTAAAACAACAACGGCCCCCTCTTTAGTATCAGTATATTTTGTGACTATCCCAACCCCCACCACAATATTAGCTGTACTTAAAAAAAAATGTTTTGGATCTGTTAATTTTTAAAAATCCACAAACCCACATGCTTCTAGGCTGGGTCTGTAGTCCCCTTGTAAACTCCCAGCCTTTTGCTCCCCTGCGCCCCAGGTGCAGTGGCATTAGCCACATTGGGAGGCATTGGCCTAAGGTGGGGGGATGGCACGTGATCCTCTGTGCCAGGAACTGAAGCATCTCTCTTCACATAGGACACTGTAAAGCAATTTCCTAGGCTTAAAGGTAACAACAAACACCATTACAACATCTAAATAGAACCTACATATAGGAAAACTGTAGCATCCTTTTACTTACTGCTAGTAACTGCTTGAAAGGAGTTGTTGTCAATTTTGTAGGTCTGATTGAGGTTCTGTCCGACTTGCTCATTAGCTTTCTGCATTAATGCAGGAGATGCTGTTGTAGTCCTGACTGCATATGTCACAATCACGCTTCCGGGCCTGGACGGAGACCACTCAGTTTAGTAAAGCAGTAACTGACCTGGAAGAGTCTAGATCCTTATGGTTTATTTGCAGGGGAAAACAAAATAGCAGCAACAGCCTAGGTAGTATTATCCTTAGGGACTCACCAAAATAAACCTCTTTTCAAGCTCTAGATGAAAGCCCAAGGCAGGGCTTGCACAGCTAAACATCTGCAGCCAGGTAACATAAATGAATAAAGCAGTCAGATGGGGAGTAGTAAACTGAGTCATACAAGGTGGTCGTCGGGAGGCAGCTGCAATGCAGAGCCTACCAACTGTTTTCCCACAGCCATGCTGGCCCGGGGTTACCAGATATACTGGGGAATACATGAAGCCCCAAAACATCCAGGAATGGAGGTTCCTGTATACATTCCTGAATTTCAAGATTGGCAACTAAGTCTTTGAAACACTGTGCAAACCCACTCAGGGCCGCCAAGGTACCCAGCTCCAGGGGGGGAGCCATTCACATTGTAGAATGCACCTCTATGGTCCTGACTGGCCAGCAGAATCTTCTGGTAGAAAGGCATCATTATTTCATGACATTATTTCATTTTCATATTTCTGAACTCTCTAGACTACAGACTTTGCCCATATCTTTGTTTGCAGGTACCTTCTGTACAGGTACATCTGCAAGGGGTGAGCTACTCTTCTGGGTATTTCCTTTCCCATTAAGCCCCTGCAACCTGGCATCAGTCTTCACCTCTACCCAACTGCTCCTGCTGAGCACTCGACGTGATGTCTCTCTAATGGGTTATTTCTCCTTCACTAATGTATTGGTCCCTGCCATCAAATAGAAATGACCAAATTATAGCATTCTTACCTGAACCCTGTCACAGTCACCTGTTTGAAGCCTGGTAAAATTCCGTAACCCTTCCGGAACTGGAAAAGAAAGCAAGACGAATGGCATGGAGCAAAGTCTAGTGAGAGATATGTCAAAAGATTTGAAACAGAGTAAAAAGTGAATATTCCTTATCCCCCTGGATAAAATTTTTGTCTGTGTATTTTGTTAGTGCTGGCATTAGCAGATCTTTAAAGAAGTACTCCCTAACTGCCTGCGGTAGTCTGGGTTTGCTGAGAAACAGATGCTAGATTAAATGTGCAAAAAATTTACTCAGGGAAATGCTTAGGAAAGAAAATGAGGAGGGAAAGGGGAAGGCAGGGAGAGCCACAAGACCCTGAGTGCAAGAAAAAGGGAAGGTTGGGTGAATGCACCATACACAGAGCCTGGGAAGGGTCTGTAAGGCCTTCCAGAGAGCCCCGTATCTGCCAGACTCAGGCCTGCTGCATTCATTCATTCAGGGCAGCAGCTGGAGCCCTTGCTCAGTTATACTCCCTGTGGCCAGGCATCCTCCTGGCCACAGCACTACCAGATTCCTGCAGCACTGGAGGAGCCAGTGTGGTGTCTGATGATATCCTTCCTCCACTTTGTTTCTCTGAACCCCAGTTCCACAGGAGATTCTATTTGATTTAAGTTACAGTTATGGGGCTACACAATGCAAAGCACTTTGACAGGTACCTGGGTGAGTGGGACCCAAAGGTTAATACGTGACTCTCTCTTTTCTTAAAAGTACATAATTTAGCATGTGGTGTGTGTGAGGAGGGTTCTCCTGCTGTGCATAACTATTATATGCCAGGTGTGCAAATCAGATGTCCAAGAGAAATCAGCACTTCATCATGGCACCTGTGGAAAATGACAAGATCCGTGTGGCACACTGGGATAAGCAGGAGGCTGCTCGCTGCCTGAGGCGGGGGCTTGGCTGCCCAGAGAGTTAAGGAAGGTCATTATCTCAGCCCAGCTGTAATCATTTGTGCCACACCAGCTGGGAAGCTCTGTTCCAAATGAGATAACTCAATCAAAGCATTTAGGTGTGGTTGAATTAATTCAATGTAAAGCACTTAGAATAGTGTCTAGCACACACTTAACATTCGTAGAATATTCTCTATTTTTACATGAGTAAATTTAAATGTCTTGACTATGAATGCCTAGTGACCTCTAGTGAAGAGTGGTTTGAAATCCTCTGTGCTAGCCTTGGGTCAGTCTGTCTAGACGACGGTAGGGCTTTCATCCATGTGGTGTGTGTAGAACAGCAATGCACTGACTGGTGCTTCTAGGCTGGGTTCTTGGGCTGCTGAATAGGACTCAGTGAATCGATGCCACCAAATCTTATCTGAACTAGTTGTACCCTAAGAAGAAGTACTATGTATACGTGAAAGTGATGCCGTACTGTCCCCTGAACACTGTTTGATTTGAGCACTTCTTAATTCACCATCTCGGGTGTATATCGATAACTTCAAATCTACATTCAGAAATTCTGACAAATCCAAGCAAACTGTCCACTGTGAATACAATAGACTCAGCTCAGCTCAGTTGGTTGATTAAGATCATCCTGGGGCCAAAACCTACCGCTGTTTCCAGGTCAGTCTTGTAGGACCTATAGAGGGCAGAGGAAGTATTCCTGAGGTCTTCTTGAAAGCCCACATTTAGTCTGACCGACATTCTCAGGAGAAGATCTGTTGACAAACACAGGGCAATATTAAAAAATCTCATGTTAGTGTTTGAGTACACAAAAAAACAGAGAAACATTTCCTTGAGCTGATGTCATACAGCTACTCAACAAATATTTAATGAACAGTTACTTACCTCCCTGGAGCTGGCAAAAAGGCCCCTTGGAAGGCAGTCCTTTAATGCAACTGCAGTGGTGCCCTGAAATGGAGCTGCCATTCTCCTGACAAGTGAGGTTGCGGAGGCACTTTTCCCGAGGCCACCCATAGCCTGTCTCGCAGGAGCACCAGATTTCATTTCCAGCAGGTCTGCAGACTGTCATCAACCAGAACAGTGAGGAGAGAGAAGGTGGTCACCACCTTTGCATTTATAGACTGCAAGTATTTATACTTGTAGGAAACCCTAACTCGACTCTACATTGCCCTTCAGGAATGTTCAGTAATCCTACACAAGACTGATGTGTGCACACATGTATCACCATGCTATTATACATGACCATCTGAAAGATGAGTGCTGTGACTGTTGAGTGACTGATGACTTATCTTTTAGATGGTCGTGCCTAATAGCAGATAGCCACGGGATGTCTGTGATGATAAGCAGATTCCTGGACATAGATTGATGGTAGCCAGCTTCCAAGATAGCCCCAGACCATCCCTGCCTCTAGGTATCACACCCTTCTGTGGAGCCTTGTTATATTGTGCTAGGGTTGGTCTGTGTGACCAATAGAATATGGCAGAAGTGATGGTATGGCACTT